CCGGTGTGAGTTTTAAGCCACCGGGTCCGGGACGCGAACCGCAGTCTACTACATGGGAGTCCAGCGACATAGCCATTACGCTAACTGCTGGTCCCTAGGATAGGCTTCTCTTGAGCAGCGCATTACCACTGCGCCACCGAGCTGGCCCTAGTCAGATTTTTGAGAAGATGTAAATGTTGTTCTAGTAAGAGGGACATCAGAAAGTTCGTGGAAAGATGGAATTACGGCTCCAATTTATTGCGATGCCAAAAGTTTGGAAATCCATGCTTACTTTTTTTCACAGTATACTTTTTCCATGAACTTTATGAAGACCCCTGGTCTATAGGGTGCATTCATGTGGTACTTTCCATCCGAATGTATCGCCTTTTCCGGTAATTGATAGCTGAGATGAGGCGCTGGCGAAGAGAAGATGTGTACCTTGCCCCCCTGTGGGATTCAAACTGCCTTTGCGCCTGCGGGCCGAACGCCTTTGCCAGCCAAGCAAGCTCCCTGTTTCTGGGCTTGTCGCTTTCACCTGCCCAGGAAAATCCAGGGAAGTTCGGGCTTAGTCTGAGTCAGAAGAGAACCAGAAAGAGGTAGAATAAAGAATCTCCTTTAAATTGGAGAACAACCATATACTAGATGATGAAGTACTTAATTTTATTTTTACATTATCTCAACTTCTCTTTTCGCCCTTCCTGAGGTGTGGCTACTTTAGTGTTTCTCACGTGATGGTGACATTGCTAATGCTGAACTTGCAGAAATACAAGTTGAATTTGGGGAAAAAAAAAAAAAAGAAATAATAGCCCAGCTGGCATGGTGATTAAGGCACCTCGAGCCCACATAGCTGAACGTGCAGTTTCAGCCTCGGATCTGTAGGCTTGGTAACATGCCAGGTGCATGTGTGTGCATGCCCCAAATCCCAGAAGGAGAAATGGAGGGGAAGGGAGTGGCATGGTGTGACCATCACCCCTGGGGAGGAGGGTGCTTTCTCCTTCTGTCTCTTTCTCTCTTTTTGGAGAGTGCATATCTCCCTCTGTCTGTCTGTCTGTCTCTCTCTTTTTGGAGAGTGCATATGCCCTCTAGCAAATTAAAAAGAGAGAGAGAAATTACCAATGCACTCATTGAATTATGAATTGTGTTTGGATGGTGATTTGAATAACTGCATTCTAAGAATCTATGAGACAAGGAAACTGAACTGGCCATGTCATGATTCTAGGCAATTACTTTAAATAATCATTTTAAAATATGATAATGGTATTGTGATTTATGTTTAGAAATACTCCTTATATTTTAGACATACTGAAATATATATAGATGAAATGCTATAATGTCTAAGGTTTTCTATAAAATTTAATCGTGCAGCCAACCTTGGCCTGCTGGTTGAGACAGCCAGCTTCCACATGGCCGACTTCTGTCCTGGACCTGATAGCTTAAGGCATGCATGCATGCCCAAGGTCTCCAAAGGAAGGCGAGACAGGATTGCAGAGTGACCATACCGTATGTGGGGGACACTTTCTCACTTTTCTTCTCTTTTTCTCTGTCTGCTGAATGCACACACTTTCTAATAAATTATTTATACATGCTTGGGGTGTTCTTTTTTTAGCAATATTATTTATTTATTAATTTATTATATTTTATTTTAATTTGACCAGAGCAAGACACACAGCAAGAGAGTGTGCGCGAAAAAGCAAGCCACCAGGTCTGGGATTCAAAATGTGTTTGGCCACAAGGGAGTGTCCAGCGCCTTAACCACCATGCCACCTGCTGGTCCCTGATGCTTGGGGTTTTCTATAAAATACTCAGTGCAAGGCTGCAGAGAAGGGCTGTGGGTGACACAGCTGTCATAGCCCATGTCTAGTTACTCTTATATTGAGCAAATTTAGTTTTTTGTTTGTTTGTTTTTTTGCTAATTTTTAAGATTTATTTATTTATTTATTTATTCATTTATTCCTTCATTATTTTTTTGATCAGCGAGAGACACAGAGAGAGAGAGGAAAGTGAGAAAGCAAGCCATCAGGTCCAGGACTTGAACCATGGTCAGCCAAGTGGGAATGTCCAGTGCCTTAACCTCCATGCCGCCTGCTGGTCCCGCTAATTTAGTCTTGTAATTAACTAAGAATCCCAGCCATCGGGATCAGTTACCTCAGTTCACCTTCACAACTCTTTAAGGAAGACGAGCAAACTGTAAGAGATGAGTGTCTATAAGTACCTACCTCCGCGGTAAACTTGGATTTCTGTTTTTATCTTGTTGAGAATGTCTAATTCCTTAACTACTACAGAACGTGAGCCTTAGGTTAATCTTATTTCAGTATGATACCGTCATTTTGAAACTACTGCCAAAGAAAATAAATGAACGGGGCCTTTTGTTTATTTACAGCTTGGACGACTTTCATAACTGCATTTCAAAGGCAATGAATTCCCGAGAAACTGATCGCCTCATCAATTCTGTGAGTTATTAGAATGTGTTGTGTGTTATCTGGGTGGTTTCCTAAATTTGGGACTTACCATTTCCTGATTAATAATCATTATTGTCTGGCTTCATAAATCTTATTTATATTGTGTTCTTTCTTTAAAAAATTAATTCTTTTAAAAATTTCTAGGGAATATGTGTACTTGCTAGAGAGAGACAGAGAGGGAGGGGAGGTAGAAAACACCCCCGAATGAGGCACAGTCTTTCTGCAATCCCTTCTCCCTTTTCTCCAGCTGCTCAGGATTTGGGGCACGTATGCACACATGCCTGGCCTATTTCTTAAGCTGCTAGGGCCCAGACTTGAACTGTGTGATTTAGCGTCTCTTAACCATCAGGCCATAGGACCAGCCCAGGCCCATGTTCTCAGTCTCGAGCAGCTTTCTCCTCAGCTCCTGCGAAGGGCGCCCTCCCTCCCCTTTCTTCAGGAGGGTTGGAACTCAGGGCTGCATCGAGATGTGGATACATTTTCATTCTGCGGGCAGCGTTGTTGCATCAATCCAATTAAATAGTGTCCAGATTAACAGGAAGAGTAAGAGACCTCATTATTAAATCCATAAGTGCAAGGCCTCCAGGTGGCATGGTGATTAAGGGCGCTGGACTCCCACATGGCTAACCGTGGTTCGAGTCCTGGACCTGGCGGCTTGTTTTCTCACTGTCCCTCTCTCTCTCGCTTTCTCAATCTGTCCCTCGCTGGTCAAATTAAAAATAAATAAAGTTAAATAAACTAATTCTTTTAAAGTCTATAAGTGCTGGTAGCCCCCGGTGAGGATTATATTGGTGAATTTGTGTGTGTAAACTCAGTCTCACGTGTGGACGCATTTGCTTCTAGGCTTGTCCTCAGTGCCCTTAGCAGTCGGTTCTGTGTGTCACTTATCACCCTGGCCACCAGAAGCTCAACCAAAGGTCCAGAAAGCAAGTTAGGTGCAAAAACAAACCTCTAGACAGGATCTTTACAAAGGCAAATTAAAGTATCTTTCACAAAAGCTCCCTCCATCTGTTCATTTCTTCCCTAAGAAAATGAAAAAGGCAGTATTCTTCGCATGATAAACTGTCGACGCTTTCTCCCTGTTTCTGAAGGAGCTAGGATCTCCAAGCAGGGCAGACCCCCTCGGTGGAGAAACCCGCCCAGAACCCTGGCGGCCGGCTGCTTCACCGCATCGCCTGCGCTGCGTGGACACCTTCAGGGGGTATGTGGGGCTCTTGTTGCACAGTGGGCTCAGGGGGTCGGAGGATTCTGTAATCACACATCGACACACTTTAATCTTTGGGTGCTTTACAGATCTTCAACTTTCTAGGCTAGCCAGAATTTTTGGATGTGAAAATAAAGCCAGCGGCCTCTTTTACGTGAAGGCTGTTGTGATAGCCGGTGTGTTGGTAGACAGGGGTGGGTCAAGGCCAGGCTGGCTCCTCCTAGCTCGGGCAGTCGGCTGAGTGAAGGCATTCGCTGTAGCAGGGGCCGACGGTGGAACTAGAGACTGCATCCCACATCCAGTCAGTAGCTTGACAACTTAGAAGATGTGCCAGTCTAGAAATGAAACTCCAGCTTTGCCAGAGTGAGTACTTATCTTCCACTGCCGGCAAAACTGCGTGCCTATCTGGCCCCTTCTGTAGCCAGTCTGTTGGCGTGCAGTAAATCGTTCGAATTTTTAGCTCTGGTAGGAGAATAAAGGATGTGGACAAACTCTGAAAATAAAGTTTAAAATTGTATAGCTAAAAACAAATATGCAGGTATCTGGTCTTCTACTTCTATTGACCAAGGCCTTTCTTTTAAAAAAGAATTTTAAATTTTATTTATTATTATTGTTGTTAATTCACCAGAGAGAGATGAGAGAGAGAGAAAGCTGCCAGGTATGGGACTCAAACCATGGTCAGCTATGTGGGAGTTAAGCGCCCTAACCGCTACACCAAGGCCTTCTGAACTCCGGTGATAACCTTATAAATCTATCTCAACTTCATCAGGGCACTGAGTGCTCCTGATAGGTGTGTTTATTTATTTATTTTTGAGAGGTTGTTGCTATAGGGCGCATGCGCTCACCAGAGAGACAGAAAGTGAGAAATGACCCTGTAGGAAGGACGGCCACACCCAATCCCTTCTCCTCCATTCTCCTCTCTGGATCTTGGGCACGTATGCACACGCACCCAGCGTGAGTTTAAGCCACCGGGTCCTGGACTCGAACCGTGGTCAACTACATGGGAGTCCAGCGACATGGCCATTACACCAACTGCTGGTCCCAGTTCCTGATAGGTGCATTTGAAGTTGGGTAAACAGTAACAATAATAATCAACATTGCTAATAAGTTTTGAATTCTCATTATTTGTAGTCAGTGATTTCACTTTTTTTCTTTTTTTTTTTAAGGTTTTTGCTATATGGTATGTGGGCTCACCAGAGAGACAGACAGAGAGAGGGAAAGGACGACCATGCCACAATCCCTTCTCCTCCATTCTCCTCTTGGGACCTTGGGTATATGCACACACATGCCTGTTGTGATTTTTAAGCCACCAGGTTTAGGACTTGAACTGTTGGCCATGTGGGAGTCCAACACTCGCCACCTGTTGGCCCTCACTTGTCTTTTTTTTTTTTTTCCTTTTATTTTTGCGGGGGAGAGGTTTTTGCTATAGGGCGCTTGCGCTCGCCAGACAGACAGAGACAGAGAGACAGAAAGCGAGAAATCACCCCCCTAGGGGGGATGGGCACGCACACACACGTGCCCGGCATGAGTTTAAGCCACCGGGTCTGGGACGTGAACCGCAGTCGACTACGTGGGAGTCCAGTGACATAGCCATTACTCTAACTGCTGGTCCCGGCCCTCACTTGTCTTAATGTTTTAGAGCTCTCAACAGTCCTGAGTAGCACGTATGATCCGTACACTTTCACTATTTTCCTACGCCGTGTAGGTTCAGTACGCCTGCGTCACAGAGGACGTTGAGCTAACGCTGAGTCACTTACCCAGTGTCACTCGGGCGCTCTCCAGGAAAGCTGGGATTTGATCCCAGGCAGTCAGGTTACAGGGTCCTCTCAAATCACCCCGTTAACAGATTGAAGTCTTTGAGCTCAGCGTCTGCACACTTGGCATCAAACAGAAGCTCGTTCTGAGTCTACTGCATTATCTTCCGCATTCCTCTGGGCTTCTTGGATTCCCATTGCCACTGTGGAGGCCGACACAGGCTGACAGGAACTTGCATTTCCTCGGTGCCTAAACTGTGCCAGGCGCTGGCCAGGTGTGACAGTATACCGGATCTCCTTAATAGTCACCCGTGGTAAGGGATTCCTCTCCTTTACAGATGACCACCCTGAGTTACCAAGCGACCCAGGACTTGAACCCCCCAGCTTTCTGACTCTAGTGACTGTGTGCCTTCTACTCCACTTCTTTAACCTGAGACATCTAAGGCATGAGCTCAAAACTGAGTTATTAGACATGTTTTGCTCTATTTTCAAGTTGGGTAGTGCAGAATAAATTTTTCTTAAGACATCATGTGGGGACCAGCAGTTGGCGTAATGGCTATGTCGCTGGACCCCCATGTAGTCTACTGCAGTTTGAATCCCGGACCTGATGGCTAAAACTCACACCAGGCATGTGTGCGTGTGTGCCCAAGATCCTGAGAGGAGAATGGAGGAGAAGGGATTGCAGCGTGAACATCCCCCCTGGGGGGTGATTTCTCGCTTTCTGTCTCTTTGTCTCTGTCTTTCTGGTAAGCATGTATGCTCTGGCAAAAACCTCTTAAAAAGGACCAGCAGTTAGCGTAATGGCTGTGTTGCTGGACTCCCATGTAGCCGACTGGTTCTAGTCCCCGACCCAGTGGCTAAAACTCACGCCGGGCATGTGTGCGTGCGTGCCCTCTCCCGAGAGAATGGAGGAGAAGGGATTGCGGCGTGGCCATCCCCCCCTGGGGGGTGATTTCTCGCTTTCTGTCTCTCTCTGTCTCTTTCTGGTGAGCGCACATGCCCTATAGCAAAAACCTCTCCAAAAAAAAAAGAGAAACTAAAGCAAAAGACGACATGTGGAAATGTTGGCCACAGAAAAACTTGTGTGTGGTCCTAGTTATAATGATTAGAAAATAAGTTTCTAGCTCTCTCCATCTCACCTTGTGTTACAAACTGCCCAGTAGAATTGTGTTACCGCATCAGTGTACCTCGTGAGTGTAAATGTATGTCTCAAAGTTGGCGTTCCTTCTCACACTGCAAACCCTGCACATGTTGCCTTCTTTGACTTACAGGATAGCACTCATCCTCATGGTCTTCGTTAATTATGGAGGAGGAAAATATTGGTACTTCAAACACGCGAGTTGGAATGGTAAGATCTTCCCTAAAGCCAGCATTGCGTATGTAGGTTGGTCCACTCAGGGAACTGCAGGGCAGAGAATCCCTCTGCATTCGCCCAAGGAGCTCCAGAGATGAGTCCATAACGGCTTCTTCTGAGCCACTGAGCTCCTGTCCCTGTAAAATAAATACCCTTTAGATTACTCTTTTTAAAAAAAAATTATTATTTTATTATACTTTATTTTTCATTTATTTATTTTAATTTGACCAGAGAGAGAAGGGGGCAGAGTGAGAAAGCAAGCTGCCAGGTTTGGGACTTGAACCCAGTCAGCCATGTGATAGTTCAGTGCCCTTAACCATCATGCCTCCTGCTGCCCCCCACCCCCTTTAGATTATTCTTTGACCCCCATAGTTTGGTTCTTCCTTTGCATGCTGTGGACCCAGAATGCTTCACTGTAGTGACACAAGGGCTCTAAAGGTTACCCTGGGGACCTTCAGACCATGTGGAAAATGTTAAGAATTTGGCAGTAAATAATCATTGTCATTGTAGATTTTCCTTTTATCACAGCCACTGCATTTGTGGAGGTTCTGCCTTCTAAGACTTACTGTACTTCTCATGTACCAGTGAACTGGGTTCAGTCTGAGTGATGCTGAATAACAACTATAAATCTGACTTGGTGGTTGGCTTAGGAATGGATTTTGAGGGACCAGCAGATGGCATAATGGTTACATCACTAGACTCCCATGCAGCCGCTCGTGGTTAGAGTCTCAGACCCAGAGGCTTGAAACTCACACTGGGTGCATGTGTGTGTGTGCTCAAAATCCCAAGAGGAGACTGGAGGAGAAGGGGTTGCAGCATGGCCATCCCCTATGGGGAGTGATTTCTTGCTTTCTGTCTCTCTATCTCTCCAGCGAGCACACATGCCCTATAGCAAAAGTCTCTTTAAAAAAAAAAAAAAGAATTTTGAAAAAAAACCACTTAAAGATGACAGACTTGTCTACATACTTCTGGTTCGCTTTTCCCATATGTAGTTACATTTGTAGGAAATGGCACGTGTTTGGTGGCAGGGTCTCAAGGACGTGTTTTTATGTGTAACCGCTGTCTTTAGTTTACTCTGTATCCGTATGTGTAAGTCCATCCTAGATTTAGGCAGCCGTCCTATTCCAGAGTCCCTTTTCTTACTGTTTGTCCCTGTGTCACTCTGCAGGACTGACGGTGGCCGACCTGGTGTTCCCGTGGTGAGTTGGCAGCCCACCATCATCTCCAGCATAGATTGTCTTGTTTTTCTAATGACATTGGAGCTTTGCTCTGAGCCCGGCCTTGTGTTCTGGAGCACAGGCCTGTATTCTGCTGCTCCTGAGTCCTTCCGAAAGCTGAATGACTGGGTGTTTGTTTTTCCTTTTGCTTACTGGAGACAGCCAAAGATAAGAGCTGATAGGAAAGTGAGAAGGCACTTCCCACGAGGGATGACCATGCCACAATCTCTTCTTCATGTTCCCCTTAGGATTTTGGGCATGCATACACACATGTCTGGCATGTTTTCCAAGCTGCCAGGTCTAAGACTCAAACCATGCAGTTGCCCTGTGGGATTCAGCTGCCTTGAAGTCCGTACCACCTGCTGGCCCCTGGGTGTTTCTTAAACTTGGCATAAGCTTACACATTGTTTATAAAAGGGAAATGATTTTTTTTTTTTTGGAGAGGTTTTATTGTTATAGGGTGTGTGCTCTCACAAGAAAGAGAGAGACAGAAAGCGAGAAATCACCCCCCAGCAGGGATGGCCACACCATAATCCCTTCTCTTCCATTCTTCTCTTGGGATCTTGGGCACGCACACACATGTGCCTGGTGTGAGTTTAAGCCACTGGGTCCAGGACTCGAACCACAGTCCGCTACATGGGAGTCCAGCGACGTAGCCATTGTGCTATCTGCTGATTCCATAAGAGGTGAATGGTTTTGAATAGAGCAGGTATGTGTGGATACCAGAGACTGTAAGGGAGGGGAGTGGATGGTCCAGAGTGGGTGGGAAGGGTAGCTGTGAGCTGAAAAGCAGAGACACAGTTAACAGGAAAAAAAATTGCAAAGTTCTCTGTTGAAAAAATTGTACACATATTATATCCATCATGATGGGGACTGTATGTAAAATTAATCCAAAAAAAAAAAAGATGAGTGATTTCATAGGGAGACATGCTATAGCAGATCTTGAAACCTTGTAAGAAGTCATAAATTCTGAATATGTAGTGAAGTTCCACTAATTCTGAACGTAAGTATAACATTGTGCCTCCCAGAAGAAATACAGTGTATTGGTATTGATGAATATGGATGAATATGTAGCAGGGTAATTTAATAATAAATTAAAATTTAAAGTTAACAGTAGAGTAGCCAAATTCTGTCTCTGATCATCCCTGGTCGCCTATTCTTGTCGAGGGATACTTCCTGTATGATGTGGAATTTGTATCTTTGCTATGATACTTGGGGCAATGCCATGCCATCATTAGGGGCCAGTCCCAACCATCGTTTTATGCCTTTGGTCCTTTGGCTTTCATCATTAATTTCATTATTTTATTGCTGGATGCATACACTTATCAGAGAAAGAAAAGATTTCAGCAGGCTGGTCCCCTGACCCCGGCAATGCCACAGTCCCCTCTCCCCCTGTCATGCATCCCGTCAGGATTTGGGTCATGCACGCATGTATTCTTGGAATGTTTTCCAAGCTACCAGGGTCAGGATTCGAAATGTGGTCAGCCATGTGGGATCTGGTCCCTTAACTACGGTGCTACAGAGCTGGCCCAATCACTAATGTAAACTATGGTTTTGGAGGGAAATCCCTTTATTCATTCATTCATTTACTGACTTACTTACTTTTTTAACTTGAACAGAGAGGGGCAGAGTAAGATAGAAAGAGAGAGAAAGTGAGAAAGCAAGCTGCCAGGTCCGGGACTAGAACTGCAGTCGGCCGTGTGGAAGTCCAGTGCCCTTAACCACCATGCCACTTACTGGCCCCACCTTTTTTAGAGACAGATTTGGGTTGGGAGGAGTTTTACATGCCTGAAGATCTGTTAATTATGTATGTTCTCTGTGAGGTTCCCTGTAGATAGAGTTCTCTAAAGAGAACATTACTGATCACAGAGACTTTTTTGTTTTTGAGAGAGATTTTTTGCTATAGGGTGTGTGTGCTCACAGAGAGACAGAGACAGAAAAACAGAAAGCAAGAAATCACTTCCTGCCCCTCCCAGGGGGATGGCCCCACCACAGTCCCTTCTACAGTCTCCTCTCGGGATCTTGGGCATACACACGCACACGACTGGCATGAGTTTTGTCACCAGGTCCAGAACTTGAACTGTGGTGAACTACGTGGAGTCCGGTGATGTCACCATTACACCATCTGCTGGTCCCCCAAAGGGGCTTTTATCTGATTAGGTTGACCCTGAGAAAGGATATCAGGGGACATCAAGGGATTAGTAAGAACACTCTCTCCTCTCTGTAACCCCAGCCAAATGACTAGAGAAGTCGTATTCCAGCTTTTCCCAGAGCTACTTGAGCATGGTGAAAGAAAGGGAAGGAAAAGTGTGTGGGACCCAGACCCAGTGCAGAGAAAAAGATGAAGCTTTCAGTTTCTTTTGGGAGTGGGAGTGAATCCAGAAGTGATTGAAATGTTTTGTTTGTTTCTCAAGAACTTGGAGGGCTTGCTAGGGAATGTCTGGTTATTAGGGTTGTGGCATTTTCATTATTGTTTCTCTCTGATAACTGAATGAGAGGGTTGTCCTTGGGAATTCAATGTACTATGCTAGGGCCTGAAGATGCACTGTCAAAACCTCACAGCCCAAAACAAGTCTGTTTTAATCTCTTTGTTATAGCCCAATGTTCTTTTATTTTAAATAATTATTCATTTAATTCCATTTATTATTATTATTATTATTATTTTCAATTTGACCAGAGAGAGAAAGGGAAAGCAAGAAAGCAAGCCTCCAGGTCCAGGACTCTAACCACAGATGGCCACATGGGAATCCAATGCCTTTAACCTCCATGCCACTTTCCGGCTCCCCAGTGTTTTTTCAATCATTGTCCACTTGAAACAAACCATGTGTTCTTTCTTGTAGAATGTTAAGAAAAAAAAAAAATACTGAAGTGTTACAGGGCCAAAGAAAACCAAAATGGAAACTGGTCTATTAATAGCTGAGTTTTGTTTTGTTTTGTTTTAGGTTTGTATTTATTATGGGGTCTTCAATTTTTCTGTCAATGACATCTATGCTGCAGCGGGGATGTTCAAAATTCAGATTGCTCGGGAAAATTGCGTGGAGGAGTTTCCTGTTAATCTGTATAGGGATTGTCATCGTGAACCCCAATTATTGCCTTGGTCCTTGTGAGTATTATTTTCCTACCGTTATTGTAATTCAGATTGAAATTCGGAACTACATTCTTTTCAGTGATAGCATGTCATGTGTATGAGAGGACGGGGGAAGAGAGGAGTACTCCTGTCAGGGTCTGGTCATGCCATGATGCCCTGTCTCTAGTTCTCCTCAGGATTTTGTGTACCACCACTTGAGCCTGGTGTGTTTTTAAGCCAACCTGGGGATCTGAACCCATGGTCGGCCATATGGTTTCCAGTACAGGGCATTTGTATTAGCACTGTGCTAGAGCCACTGGGCCAAAATCTGCATGTTATAATTTGAACAAAAGCTTCTTCTATCTCACAGACCTGCAAAATAGAACAGTTCCTGGAAAAATATAGGCAATGTCATTAGTATTATTATTATATTTTGGAATTTTAATCTGGGACGGTGCCTTTTAAGACTGCACAGACCCCTCTGTACACGGGAAAGTCTGAGGCCAGGGGAGATGGCAGTGTGTTCTCTGGATCATCTAAGTGTAGTGAGAGGCAGAGAAGGGACCGGACAAGGCCACCTTGTTCTCAGACCCTGCCCTCCTGCCTTTTTGATTTCAGTGAATTTCAAGATTATATGTGTTCTAGTCTGTTCTGTTGCTAATAGAAGAATTACTTGAGTCTTGGTAATTGACAAAGATAGAGGTCTATGCAGCTCACGGGTTGGAGGCGTGGGGGCCAGGGGCTGCATCATCATTGGGTTTGTTGAGGGTTACATCCCTCCAGTGATAACCGTCAGGCAGGGAGAGTCAGCCAGTGGGTAGTGCTGAGTTTGCAAGTTCCTGGTGGACACGAGGGTTGACTAAATTTCCAATAGGAAAGGGCCAGGAGGTGAACGTCGGAGCCAAGCCTGATCCTTGATCCTCACCCCTGAGAAGGAGGCCTTCTGTTCTTATCCCCGTGTCCTAACCGGCCAGCTCCCTGCTTTGAGTCTGAGTCATGTTCCTGACTGTCAATGGGGCTGGCCTTTTGTGGGGACTTGGCATTGTGCCATGTCTCCTGACTGCATGTATTGCTTTCTTGAAGAACTTAATAAAGACTGGCTTAGATGTCATATAGGCATGTCCTCCCCTGGAGATGAGAGGAGAAATGCTGACTAACCCGTTCTGGCTGGTATCTTTCGCAGTGTCTTGGGATAAGGTGCGGATTCCTGGCGTGCTGCAGCGGTTGGGAGTGACGTTCTTTGTGGTTGCTGTGCTGGAGCTCCTCTTTGCTAAACCCGTACCTGAAAATTGTGCCTCGGTGAGAAACAGCGTTTCTAAAAACAGGGGTAAGAGGCCAACAGGTGGCATGGGGGTTAAGGCAGCTGGATCCCTCCCATGGCCACCTGTGTGGTTCAAGTCCTGGACCTGGCAACTTGAAAATCACAACAGGCATGTGTGTGCCTGGCCAAAATCCTCAGAGGACACTGGAGGAGAAGGGATTGTGACATGGTCATCCCTTTTTCGGGGGTGATTTCTCACATTCCCTCTCTCTGTCTTTCTCTTTCTCTAGCAAGTGGAGGCGCCCTATTGTAAACTAAAAAGAGGACTAAGAAAGTCATTATATGGTCTTTAGAACGTCTTTTAGTTCCAAGTATAGTACTGTTCTTTTTATTAAGTCTATTTTTAAAATTCGTAATAACCTATATATTCATTTACCTGTATATGTGCATGAAAGAGAGAGAGAGAGACACTCTTGAAAGGGTGTCATCGTGCCATGAGCCCTTTCCCCCAGCCCTCCAGCTCCCTAGGATCCTGCACACATGCCTGGCTCATTTTCAGGGCAACCTACGACCTGAACCCATGAATGACCCTGTGGTTTCCAGCCTGGCAGGGCCTTCTGAGAAGAATGTCTCATCTCTTTTGTGATCCCTTCCTATCTTACTGTAAATTGCTGAACTGAATTTATCTGGGTGAGAGTTGTTATTTCCCCAGTAGAGGTAAACATGTAGGCAGAAATAGTCAAAATTCGTTTATTTGGAAGTTCTGCTTAACAATAAACTTTTGGGGTGTTGGAAAAGTCTTGATGCATTTTTGCATTAAAAAAAACCAGAAAAGTATGTCATGACTTTTCCAACCACTCGATAATAAAGCTGCTTTCTCGCTTCTGCCAAGGCGTGTACCTGGCAAGTCCATCGCTGAGTCCCCAAGGCTCGGGGTTCTTCCTGTAACGACTGCTGAGTACAGCTGTCTGGCGCGTGTTGTAGTCACTCTCGCTTTTCCTCCCCTGGCCTCACTGTCAGTATCTCAGGTTCTCTGGCTGTCAGTCTCCTTGAGGTGAAGTAGAGATCAGTGAGTGTGGGACCAGGCTGGCCATGTCTGTCAAAACAGTCGGTTCCAGCTCTCCTGCACCTGAGGGCCTGCAAGGCTCATCCAGGGCCTTCACAGCTGGGCCAGGGTCTGGCAGGACAGTAAGAATGGAGGGGAATTTGGCCTTGTTAGCACTGCACCACGGAGCCGGCCCTGCACAAGTTCTTGTGTGAACGTACGTTTTCAACTCTTTTCAGTCTAGGAGTAGAACTGTCTGTTGATTTTTATTTTTAGAATTATTTTTATTTAGTTTTGTTTATTGTTATTATTATTGTTGTTGTTTTTAACTTGACCAGAAAAAGAGGGAAAGTGAGAAAGCAAGCCATCGGGTCTGGAACTTGAACTGCAGTCAGCCATGTGGGAATCCAGCACCTTAACCGCCACGCCACCTGCTGGTCCCACAGCATCAAATTGTTTTAAGGTATAAAATTATTTGCAATTCCCAGAGCGAATACTAAAAAGTAAATAAATGAAAATAAAGTAAATAAATTGATAGCTAGAAATAAGAGCATTAAAGTGGTACATGAAAAAATGTTTGCTTAATATAAAAGAAGGCAGTAATAGAAGAACAGAGGTATAAAAAGACATAAGACATATTAAAAGATAAAGAGCAGACATAAGTTCTACCTTACAAGTAATTACATTAAATGTAAACTAATTGAGCATTTCGTTTGAAAGGTAGAAATTAGCTCACTGGATTTTTTAAGAGATTCAACAATATGCTAGCTATAAGAGATACACTTTAGATGCAAAGACACAAAGAGGTTGAAGGTAAAAGGAAGGAAAAAATACACTCTGGGGACCAGTGGATGGCGTAATGGTTATGTCGCTGGACTCAGACGTAGCTGACCACGGTTCGATTCCTGAACCCGGTGGCTTGAAACTCACACCAGATGCATGTGCGTGCATGCCCAAGATGCCAAGAGGAGAATGGAGAAGGGATCGTGGCATGCTCAGCCCCCCAGGGGCGGGTGATTTCTCACTTTCTGTCTCTCTGTCTCTCCAGCAGCCACACGCACTCTATAGCAAAAATCTCTCTTAAAAAAAAAAATCACTCTCTTAACAGCACTCAAAGAGTGCTAGAGTGACTACACTAGTATCAGCCAAAACAGACTTTAAGCCAAAAAATTACAAGGGACACTTTATGATTAATAAAAGGGGGGGAGTCAATCCATCAGAAAGACATAGCAATTATAAAGGTATATTCATCTACCTAAGAGGTCCCCAAAATACATGAAGCCAAAGCTTGCAGAACTAAAGGAAGAAGCAGAATTCAAGTTGTGATTAGAGAGATTAATACTTCCACTTTCAGTAACAGATAAAAGAAGCAGTAGATGGACAAGGAAAGAGAAGACTTGAACGTCTACCACCACCCGACAGCCACCAGATACACATTCTTCTCAAGGAGCCACATTCCAGAATAGACCCTGCAATAGGCCATCAAACAAGCCTCAATAGATTTTAAAGAAGATTACACACTCGCAGAAAATTTTAAAGTAACACCAAATAACCAATAAGTTAAAAAAAAATTAGAAAATTCTTGAGATGAATGGAAACAATTTAACCAGTAAGTTAAATGGAAAAAAATGGCAGTAATTAGAAAATACTTGAGATAAAAAAAACAACATACCAAAACACAGCTTAAGCAGTGCTAGAAAGAAATTTATAACTATAAATGTCTATATTTAAAAAAGAGGGCCAGCTTATAGCCTTCTGGTTAAAGCAGCTGGATTCCACAAGGATGACTGCACAGTTCAAGTCCCAGATCTGGCAGCTTGAGAAATATACCAAGCGCGTGTGCGTGTAGGCCCCAAATCCCAGAAGGATGGAGAAATGGAGGGGAGGGGCCTGCAGGGTAGCCATGTCCGTGATGGGTATTTTCTCACTTTCCCTATTTCTCTTTCTCTCTGGTGAGTGCACACACCTTTTGACAAAATTTTGAAAAATAGAATGAAGCTCTCAATTAATAACACAAACTTTCACCTATGTAAAAGCTGCAAGACACAGAAAAGCCAAATACGATTCTATTTTTATGAAATTACCAAAAGACAGAAAGTACATTTGTGCTTGCCGAGGGCTGTGAGGAGGGGAAAATTAGAGTGCTCACTAATCAAACAGGGTTTTTACTTTGGGGGTGATGAAGCATTATGGAGTTATTATAGGTAGGGGTAATGGCTGCAAATCCCTGTATATACACTAAAACCACTGAACTGTATACTTTAAAAGGGCAATTTGTTTTTAAGAGGGATTTTTGCTATAGGGAACGTGCATTCACCAGAGAGACAGAGAGACAGAAAGCAAGAAATCACCCTCCAGGAGGGATGGTCATGCCACAGTCCCTTCTCCATTCTCCTCTCGGGATCTTGGGCACACATGCACACGCACCTGGCATGAGTTTTACACTGCCAGGTTCAGGACTTGAACCACAGTCGACTATGTGGGAGTCCAGCAACATAACCTTTATACTATCTGCTGGTCCCTAAAAGGGCATGTGAGTTATATAATAAAGCAGTTATTTAAAAAAGGATAACTAGTCAGTGAAAAATAAGAACACTGTAGTGTGGAGTAAACATATTTATAAATAACACGATGCAAGGACAAAGGCAAAAGGGGAAAGTAGAAGTATAGTATTTGGGGACCAGCAGGTGGCGCAGTGGTAAAGGTTCGAGCTCTGGACTAGGCAACCTGAAAATCATGCTGGGTGCCTGTGCGCACCAAGCCCAAGATCCTGAGAGGAGAAGGGAGGAGAAGGGATTCCAGCATGGCCATTCCTCCTGAGGCATGGCTTCTCACTTCTACTCTTCCCAGCAAATGCACACATCCTATGGCAAAAATCTTAAAAAAAAAAAAAAAAAAAAAAGTATATATGCAATTTTAAGTTTCTTAAAAGATACATGGAGTAGTACTTCGCTTGAAATTAGACTAAATTTTTTAAAGCACCTTACACACAGTGGGTATTTCACAAATATTCATCAGATGAAGATTTATCTGAGCTTATGAACAATCTTTAAGGCACAAAATATATACATGCCTTTTTAATCACATAAATATGTATGCACAAATATAAAATACACTTACCAAAACAGAATAAATGTGCAAACATCGATAAACAGGGGAAAAGTCAACAAGATCCTGAACAGTTAAGATCTGAAAAAAAAAAATTAATTATAAGTAAACTATAAAGTTGAAGATAAGATTCACCAGCTTTGTATTACAACACTCACTAAATTCTCTCATAGAAAGCATACGACGTAAACACAATGCCTTTTTTAATTTTGACATTTACTCAGTTTATTATTTCTTGCATATTACTGTTGGTATTTTAGATGGTAAGATAACAGAGTGGAGAGAGTATATAAATTTAACATGCTCGGGAGATCACCAGAAAATGATTACGCATAACTAGATACTTCGTTACTGCTGTAGGTAAAAAGGGTTCATGGATTTATGAGTCAGCTATAACAAAATTTCTTTTCTTAAGCAGCTAAGTCATGTGATTTATTACTGCGCCAAATCAAAGACACTATCGTTATGATTTTATAGATCACTAAGAAAGAAAAGAACACAACCACTTGCAACTACAGCACCATCGATTTTAAGATGAATCTTGAATTCTGAAATGTTGTAATACAAAAATATAACACCTCAGAGGTAATGAAATATAGTATCAAGTTTAACAAACTTGAGAGATACATAAACCCTTTCTTTTTTTTCATGTGCCATTACTTTTATTTTTAATGTCCAGAGTTTGTAAGACAAGGGCCAGAGCTTCCTTCCAGACACAAAAATTGTATACGTTCTCAACTGGCTGGTGAGGCCAACAGGGGTACTCCTTGTCTAATGCAGTTTCTGGAAAGACTTCAATCAGGTCTTCAATGGTCATCTGATCAAATGGAATTATGTTCTTCATCTTCTCCAGCTGTTTCGGATCGTCTTCAATCCTGGCCTTTG